AGCAGATTTCTTCCGGCTGTGTATTTTCAAATTCTAGCGCACTCGAGCTGGTTTCTCCAAAATTACCTACCCCACCTTTAAGTAAATGCAGTTGGTAGAGACTTGGAAAAACTTGAATATATCGTGAAATTAGGATATGAGAATACATTTGGTCTTTTCGGATGTTTAAATATCTTAGGTCTTTTTTCAAATGGTGCATCTTAAAGGAAGATGTATCAGGTAAACCATTCACCTGCAGAAAAATAAATGACAAAGTTTAAAGGGAGTGTGTATCTAACCTTGAGAGTAAAACAACTTCAGGTTGAGTCCGGTCAGCTGTTGCCGGGTTGACAGAGGAAAGGTTTTGCGGCAGCAGCAGCACGAGAAAATTCAATTATGTCCAACCTTGACAGAGCAGCTTGGGTCAGACTTTGCTAAAACTGTGGAGCTGTTGCACACTGAGCCTTTTGATTTCCATGAAGTCTGCTCTGTGCACGGACCACAGTGCTGCTTTTCATTGGAGAATACACACACACACACACACACACTCACTCACACACTCAGGGTAAAGTTAGCAGCAGAGGAAGTTCACGACAGATACAGGTTGTCAGGTAGATAGATAGAAGTGAAGGAACATCTGTATTAAGATTAGAACGTTATCAACCCCGAAGGAAATGTGCCAGATTTTGAAAAAACGTTCAACACGACAAGACTCCTTTGTTTACTTCGGTAACATAGTGGCATCACCAAGTAACCCTTGCTCGTCTATTGGCTAGCGCTCCAACACATTGTACGTGATAGGGCTAAGGGGCGGGACATCTCTAAGCGCTTGACCAATCACAACAGAGCCGGCCAGCTATCCAATCAGAGCAGACTGGGCTCTGGTTTCAGACAGAGGGTGAAAGAGGTGCTGCAGCACAGGCAGTATGAGAAAAATAAAAGGGCTTTTTGAACATTGAAGCATGGAGACATGTCACATTAGAGACACTACACACTGATATACACCTGAACATCAACAGGAGAGGACTCTTTAAAGTAGAGACACTACATACTGATATACACCTGAACATCAGCAGGAGAGGACTCTTTAAAGTAGAGACACTACATACTGATATACACCTGAACATCAGCAGGAGAGGACTCTTTAAAGTAGAAACACTACATACTGATATACACCTGAACATCAGCAGGAGAGGACTCTTTAAAGTAGAGACACTACATACTGATATACACCTGAACATCAGCAGGAGAGGACTCTTTAAAGTAGAGACACTACATACTGATATACACCTGAACATCAGCAGGAGAGGACTCTTTAAAGTAGAGACACTACATACTGATATACACCTGAACATCAGCAGGAGAGGACTCTTTAAAGTAGAGACACTACATACTGATATACACCTGAACATCAGCAGGAGAGGACTCTTTAAAGTAGAGACACTACATACTGATATACACCTGAACATCAGCAGGAGAGGACTCTTTAAAGTAGAGACACTACATACTGATATACACCTGAACATCAGCAGGAGAGGACTNCGGCAGCAGCAAAAACAATCGCATTTGTACATTAGGACAGTTAAAAAGGATAGAATTAAACAATCGAAAATGTAAACATCTTAAATTAGGAAATAACATAGCATTGCAAAAAGTAAAATATACATGGATTAGTGTGAAGCTATCTTTTACCTGTTAACATACAATGTTAGGCGCTAACTGTTTGCCTGTACAGAGCCTTTTTGCTGTTGTTATTGCTTTTAATTCTAAACAAATTGTATCTTCTTAAACTTGTATGAGTCAAAGAATCACATCACATCCTTATTGACTATATTAGAGGGAGGGAAGGAAGTGTTTCAAAGATTCTGCTTAGAATCATTTTCTACCAATTTCTTTAAATTCATGGTGGTTTCAGTAATCCTTCTGGTAATTGAGGAAGGACCATAAGTCATCTAAATGAGTAATGTAATCTTTTCATGACTTTCAGAAAGGGGACAGGAGGCCGACATGGTGTCCTATCAATGATTTGTCAAACTGACAGCACAATGAGTCTCAAAAGCCACTAGCAGCAGCAGCAGCGTCATGATGATGTTTTAAAATGTGTTGTTTAGGAACATCCATTGTAAATTAAAACTGGAATCAATAAACGATTCAATAGCATGCGTGCAGTTTGTCTGTCTGCCTTTTCCTCTGTGTTTTGTCCTGGCATATAGTCTCCCCCTATGGTTTGCTTGTGCTGTCTGGGGGATGATCACTCATAGAAAGGTTAGTACACATGTACGGCTTCCCACTGACACAGAGGAGGAGGAAAGAATGGCTGGCTCAAGTCAGCGCAGGAGCCTTTTAAACTATCACAAAAGACAAATGACACAACATCAACAAAATATGTGACGTAATCATATTTTTCAGCAAAACAAATCCACCCACACATTGCGGAGCTTAATGTCTTTTTAATCAAAATAAGGAACAGGGAGGAGGGCTTGCAAAACTTCTGGAGGTTGAGACTCAGGGCTCAGGGTGAGGGTCTCATTGCAGGTCTTTCCAGGGCTCCATTGAATCCCCCTGGGGTTCTTGTGCGAGGAGAGGAGACAGGAGAAAGGTATAGATACATCTCGAACCTATAGGATGTGAAATGGCTGACCTCATTTTTAAACTTACCTTGATATTTTTCACTCTCACTTAATCCCTCTCCCTTTGCCCATCAATCCAAAATCAGCTGAGCTGCAAGACATAATTACAGGGACAGGTAATAATCAACAGAATCACAAGGAATAATATGACCTGCTAAAAACACTCACCCATAAATATGTTTTTGTTTTACTTGTCTCAAATATCCACTCTACAATCCATATCAATAGCAATGTATCACAAAAATAGCTCTCTTCTTATAGGTGTCAACGTATAACTATATTATGCTAGCTTGAACTCCAAAATGGATATCCTCATTCCCACCTCCACCCACTACAATCACCGCCCCCAATGTTTATATTTAGCTCCCTCCACCCCGGATAAAAGCACATTAAGAAGCCCTTTCTCTCTAATTCCACAACGTTGGACGAATAAACATTAAGGAGAACGGATTAATAGGCTGTTCATGGTTAACGTGGTGTTGCTATACTTTATCCGGTCCTAGCCTAATCTGTTTAGTTCCGGTTGAAAATTAACCAAGCCTCTTATATGCCCATTGTATACAGGGAAACAGAAGTTGGTCCAGCGTTCTGGTCAACCCAATTGTGATTAGAGTAGAGAAACATGTTTGTCATTCTGCCCACCCTCTAATCTTACAGCAAGTATCAATACCTCATAAGGGTTCATGTACATGTAGGGCTACGGGTTTGTTATGCTGTTGCATTAAACCTACCCCATATAGCTATGTGCCGGCTAGCAAAACTCAGGCATTGCAACAATAAGTGATATCAGAAAACTAGAAATGTTAACTCACCTGACACTGTGGTGTGTATTCTCTTCATTCCGAGTCTGTCATGTCTGTATGTCAACGACGGCATGTGTAATAAGAACGTCCAACAGCCTGATGAGCAACCGAAAAATCCCTCTCTCATCTCGAGATAGAAGATATGATTGGAGACGACCAGCCAAGTCCAGGAATTGACCTTCTCGAGTTCTCCGATGGTTGGTTTTTGTGGCACATTTGTAACGCTGTGACAACGTTGAGCGAGCACAGGCAAAGCTGAGCGGCGCACATCACAGGGTGGTAGAGGCTCGAGCGATGCGGGGAGAGAGAGCGCGTGCAGCGGTCTGCTTTGCGGGCACGGCAGCCAGACTTTTAATGAAAGAAAATATATTTTCTCTGTGCTCAAAAATGTCAAGTCGTCGCTCATCGCCATTTTCTATGCGTCAACATGGTTCATTGCGTGCTTTCTATATCTGGCAACACCTTTCAAAATGTGTCTCTGCTTGGAGCTCAGAGCTAAATGGTTCACTTTTCCATAACAAAATCTTGTGAATCCACGATTAAATCAAGTTCTTGCTAGGTAGGTGGTATTGGCTTTAACAAATTCTTTCGTTATGGGCTTTTTTTTACTGGCGGCTAGTATTATTTTAAACATTTACACTTTAGAGATGTGTGGTTGTTCCAAGCGATTAAAGGTGTACCTACTGGCCAGGATTGGTGGGAAAGTTAGTGGGAGTACAATGCTTTCGTTACTGTACTTAAGTACATTTTTCTGGTATCAGTACTTTACTCCACTACTAATTTCTGACGACTTTTTACTTTTACTTCTTACATTATTAAACACCAAATACCATACTTTCTACTTCTTCATTTTAAACACAAATACCTGTTATTCTACTTCTTTACATTTTCAAAAACAGGTTTGTTACTTTTGTAGTTTTTTAATTTCTGTGTTGTGGTCGTGATCATTATTATTTAAGTCTTGCGTGGCTCTATTGATTTGAACACGATCCGTGTATCCATCATTCCTGGTCTTCTCTAAAGAAGAGGACAATGGAAAACGTTGTCATGTGCCGTTGTTCAGCATGGAAACATTCGGTTAGCTCACAATGAATTATCGTTCTATTAATATAAAGTGAGGTCAGTTACTTTCTTTAAAAACAAGATGGTATTACGGTACTTTTGTACTTACAGGTCGGGTAGTTAAGCTTTGGATAAACCGGGCTCAGAGATACACTTTTTTGTTATTATTCCATGGAATGCTCTTACATCCCGATAGCAATGAATATCTTAAGTGGCTTTGACAAAATCCCAAAACAAATTTAATCTGTGGAAGCTGTAGTACTGTAAAAAGCACGACCAATCATCTGAGCCGGCCCGGCTAAAATAACTGGATGGCCTACCTGCCTGTCAGCCTTCCATCTGTGCACAAACTTATCTCGTGCCCTCATTGGTCATGTGCTCGTTCGTGTGTGTTGGAGGAGGGGCTCTGTAAGGAAGTAGCAGATTTCTTCCGGCTGTGTATTTTCAAATTCTAGCGCACTCGAGCTGGTTTCTCCAAAATTACCTACCCCACCTTTAAGTACACTTCGAAGCCCATACTTCTTTACTTTTACTTGAGTAAAGAAGTTTAGTCAGTACTTCTATTTTTACAAGGGTATTTTTAAACACGAGTATCTGTACTTCTACTTGAGTAAAGGATGTGTGTACTTTTGTCACTGACAGTGTTTTAGGTTGATGCGACTTAAATTAACTAATATTTCTCTTTAATCTGTGTTTCCAGGACCTGCAGGCTCAGGACCGGGCTCACCGCATCGGCCAGCAGAACGAGGTGCGCGTGCTTCGTCTCTGCACCGTCAACAGTGTGGAGGAGAAAATCCTGGCAGCTGCCAAATACAAACTCAATGTTGATCAGAAGGTCATCCAGGCGGGCATGTTCGACCAGAAGTCCTCAGGCAACGAGCGCCAAGCTTTCCTCCAGGCCATTTTACTGACTGAGGAGCAGAATGAGGTCGGGTGTGAATTGTTTTTTATTAAATGATGCATGCTGCTTTTGATTGAATTCCTGCAGACACAGCACTTTAGATACGATCAGGGAGGTAGCCACCCTACACTTATAATATTCCATGTTTTTGAAATGCAATCTCAGCAGCTTAATTTGTATTTGATAAAAATCAGTAAGCAGTACGTGACCAGTTTGTTTTGAACTGACCATGCAGGGCTCCTGTTGTGCTGAAACATTCAATAACTCGGCCTGTGTTTTGCTGTTTTTCCAAACTAGGAAGAAGATGAGATACCCGATGATGAAACTCTTAACCAGATGATAGCCCGCAATGAAGACGAATTTGAGCTCTTCATGGTAAGAAAAGGCACACATTCCTGTGAGATCTCATCGACATTTAAATTGCAGAGTAAGACTCCAAAAGCAACCGTCCTAAAGAGAAGACGCTGATAGCTGGTTCTCTTACATTTACCGACAAAATAATTGTAGGTTTTCCGTCATGTCGAGACTATTGTTCATTGGTTAAAATGTATTTCTTGTTCAGGCATCTGAGAATGGCGCGTTTGTCCCGCGGACAACTCTTCATGCATAATAAACAACTAAATTGCCATGGATAAAGGCCTCACAGTCACCATGTCACTCAGTATAGACAGTTTTTTATTGAAAAAAAATGGAATGTTTGTGTTTAAATAGCTGTCCTCACAGACTGACTCACAGAGTCGCCTCATATTTCTTTTCACCTAGCTCTTATTGACTTGCTTCATGATGTCGGGTGCAAGATATTAAATATACATGAGAAACCTGGAAGCAATAGGTTAGGGCTGGCAGCAAGTTTGTAACTTGTAGAAGGGCTTCGTCCAAAGGTGCATTTAGTTAAAGCAAAAATATGGCCTGATGTTTGATGCGTCCATATAGTGATGTTGATACCAACAAGGTAGAAATCCAATGCTTATTCCAGTTTGAATCATCTGTATTTTCTTCTCTGCAGCGCATTGACATGGACCGACGGCGGGAGGACGCCAGGAACCCAAAGCGCAAGCCTCGCCTCATGGAGGAAGACGAGTTGCCTTCTTGGATCATCAGAGACGAAGCTGAGGTGGACCGCCTCACGTACGAAGAGGAGGAGGAGAAGATGTTCGGCCGGGGGTCTCGATGCCGCCGGGACGTGGACTACAGCGACACGCTCACTGAAAAACAGTGGCTGCGGGTAAAGTCTGAGCATACTTACTAAGCTATTATTTCTCTAACAAATATAGTGATAAACGTAACTGAGTGAAATTGGTTAAAAACCCATAATTTCTTTATTCACCTTCAACGCTTCTTCCCTGCAGTTACCTATAGCAATCTTTTTGAAATATAATGTGCCGTTTAATTTAAGTTATTGTGATTTTTTTCATATCAGTATTAGATATTACTGCAATATTCCCTTGATCGTCCTTAGCCACGGTCATGTTATGCTTAACAGATGTGTGTTAGCAGGTGCTAAAAAAAAAAATCGACCAATCAGAATAGAGTGTTCCTCTAAGCCGTGAAATACAAGGTAAACACTTGGCAGTCATTCATCTTTTCTAACTTAACCACTTTTTCCTTATGTTACAAAAAACGATGTTCTGAAGCCTTGTTTATTGTAAAGTGCTTATCTGGATCTTTTTCCTGTGGAGAAAAGCAGAACATTCTGAAGGATGCTTACAGACATGAAAATCATTTTCAGTCAGAATCAGCTTTGCAGACATACAAGGACATGGTCAAGATACTTATAAAGGAATATGAAAATGTCAATGGCAAAAGCTTTAATTTCTTTACTTGAGTAAAAGTACCACACAGTAGAACTACTCAATTTTAAGTTAGAGTACTGCATCGAGAATGGAACTAAAGTCAAGTATTTAAGTACGATTAGGAAAATGTACTCAAAGTATTAAGAGTAAAAGTATTAATTCAAGAAGAAACTCAACAAATATTTAAATATACAGTATATATATATATATATATGTATATATATATACTTTTTTGAAAAAGTATTTAGTCAGCCACCAATTGTGCAAGTTCTCCCACTTAAAAAGATGAGAGAGGCCTGTAATTTTCATCCTAGGTATACCTCAACTATGAGAGACAAAATGAGAACAAAAAATCCAGACAATCACATTGTCTGATTTTTAAAGAATTTATTTGCAAATTATGCTGGAAAATAAGTATTTGGTCACCTACAAACAAAAAAGATTTCTGGCTCTCACAGACCTGTATCTTCTTCTTTAAGAGCCTCCTCTGTCCTCCACTTGTTAACTGTATTAATGGCACCTGTTTGAACTTGTTATCAGCATAAAAGACACCTGTCCACAAACTCAAACAGTCACACTCCAAACTCCACTATGGCCAAGACCAAAGAGCTGTCAAAGGACACCAGAAACAAAATTGTAGACCTGCACCAGGCTGGGAAGACTGAATCTGCAATAGGTAAGCAGCTACTCAACTGTAGGAGCAATTATTAGAAAATGGAAGACATACAGGACCATTGATAATCTCCCTCGATCTGGGGCTCCACGCAAGATCTCACCCCGTGGGGTCAAAATGATCACAAGAACGGTGAGCAAAAATCCCAGAACCACACGGGGGGACCTAGTCAATGACCTGCAGAGAGCTGGGACCAAAGTAACAAAGGCTACCATCAGTAACACACTACGCAGCCAGGGACTCCAATCCTGCAGTGCCAGACGTGTCCCCCTGCTTAAGCCAGTACATGTCCAGGCCTGTCTGAAGTTTGCTAGAGAGCATTTAGATGATCCAGAAGAGGATTGGGAGAATGTCATATGGTCAGATGAAACCAAAATAGAACTTTTTGGTAAAAACTCAACTAGATGCGTTTGGAGGAGAAAGAATGCTGAGTTGCATCCAAAGAACACCATACCTACTGTGAAACATGGGGGTGGAAACATCATGCTTTGGGGCTGTTGTTCTGCAAAGGGACCAGGACGACTGATCCGTGTAAAGGAAAGAATGAATGGGGCCATGTATTGTGAGATTTTGAGTGACAACCTCCTTCCATCAGCAAGGGCATTGAAGATGACACGTGGCTGGGTATTTCAGCATGACAATGATCCCAAACACACCGCCCGGGCAACGAAGGAGTGGCTTCGTAAGAAGCATTTCAAGGTTCTGGAGTGGCCTAGCCAGTCTCCAGATCTCAACCCCATAGAAAATCTTTGGAGGGAGTTGAAAGTCTGTGTTGCCCAGTGACAGCCCCAAAACATCACTGCTCTAGAGGAGATCTGCATGGAGGAATGGGCCAAAATACCAGCAACAGTGTGTGAAAACCTTGTGAAGACTTATAGAAAATGTTTGACCTCTGTCATTGCCAACAAAGGGTATATAACAAAGTATTGAGATGAACTTTTGTTATTGACCAAATACTTATTTTCCACCATAATTTGCAAATAAATTCTTTAGAAATCAGACAATGTGATTTTCTGGATTTTTTTTCCCTTCTCATTCTGTCTCTCATAGTTGAACTGTACCGAGGATGAAAATTACAGGCCTCTCATCTTTTTAAGTGGGAGAACTTGCACAATTGGTGGCTGACTAAATACTTTTTTGCCCCACTGTATATTCACAGTGGAGGAAATAAGTATTTGATCCCCTGCAGATTTTGTGGGTTCGCCCACTTACAAAGAAATGAACAGTATATAAGTTTATTTTAACAGTGAGAGTAAGAATATCAAAAAGAAAATCCCGAAATTGACATTATATAAAAGATAAAAATTGATTTGCATTTAACTGTGGGAAATAAGTATTTGATCCCCTTGCAACCAAGGATTCTGGCTCCCACAGACCGGTTACATAAGTCGTCTTCTTTTAAAAAAGTACTCCTAATATCAACTTGTGTACCTGTATAAAAGACACCTGTCCACAGAAGAAAAAGAAAATGGGCATCAATCAACAATAAGTCGCCCTCGGTCTGGGGCTCCACACAAGATCTGGCCCTGTGGGGTATTGATGATTATGAGAAAGGTGAGGTATCAGCCAGGAACTAAACTGGAGGAACTTGTTAATGATCTCAAGGCAGCTGGGACCACAGTCACCAAGAAAACTATTGCTAACACACTACACCATAATGGATCAAATCCTGCAGTGCCCGAAGGTCCCCTGCTCAAGAAGAACATGAAAGGCCCGTCTGAAGTTTGACAATGAACATCTGAATGATTAAGAGAAGGCTTGGGACAAGGTGACGTGGTCAGATGAGACCAAAATCGAGATCTTTGGCATCAACTTGACACGCCGTGTTTGGGAGGAAGAGAGATGCTGACTATAACCTCAGAACCCCATCCCCACCGTCAAGCATGGAGGTGGAAACATTATGCTTTGGGGTGTTTCTCTGCTAAGGGGACAGGACGACTTCCCCGCATCGAGGAGAGGATGTACGGGGCCATGTATCGTGAAATCTTGGCTGATGCCTCCTTCCCCCAGCCAGGACACTGAAAAGGGTCATGGATGGGTCTTCCAGCAGGAAAATAAACCTGAACATACGGCCAAGGCAACACAGGAGATGCTAAAGAAGAAGCACGTTTAGGTGATGGATGGGCCTAGCCAGTCTCCAGACATTAATCCCATAGAAAAGCTGTGGAGGGAGCTGAAGCTTCCAGATGCCAAGCATCAGCCTCAAAGCCTTCAGGATTTGGGAGGATCTTCAGAGAGGAGCGGACCACAATCCTTCCTGAGATGTGCACAAACCTGGGAGGACCAACTACAAGAAGCGTACTGACCTCTGTCCTGTCCAACAAGGAGTTTCCTCCAACAAGTACTAACAATGTTTTGCAAGGGGATTATTATTTCCACAGTTAAATTCAAATCAATTTTTATCTTTTATATAATGTTAATTTCTGGATTTTTTTTTTGATATTCTTACTCTCACTGTTAAAATAGACCTACCATTACAATGATAGACTTTTAGTTTATTTGTCAGTTTGGCAAACTTACAACATCTGCAAGGGATGAAATACTTATTTCCTCCACTGTATACATATATATATACACACACACACACACACACACACACACACACACACACACACACACACACACACACACACACACACACACACACACACACACACACACACACACACACAGCCAAGGTCTGTAGATCGAGCCCTTACCATGACTGGATGTAAAGCTAAGGTTTAGCACAGCGGGGTGCTAATAGCGCCCAGTCACTCACAGCAAATAGACTCTGACACACTCCCCTAGAGAGACTTCTGAGGCCTGGAAGATCCATTTTATTGACTCTGTCTTAGGTGTTTCAGGGTGAACAAGAATAGAACAGAGAAACTTTGAGACAGAGGTGACAGTATTTTTTAAGTGTAGCTGCAGTTCAGAGAGGCTTTACTTAAAAGGAGAAAAACATGTGAGACGTGTATGCACTGCTAAAGTAACATATCTAGACAGGCTTGATAGTCAGAGTTAAAAACACTGCCATGGTTTGTAATGATTGTAGATTTCACACATTTCATATTTCAATATGAATTCACGTGGGTGAGGATTAACTCTCTTTATTTATTTTGATGACGTTAGGCCGTTGAGGATGGAAACCTGGAAGAGATGGAGGAGGAGATCCGCCTGAAGAAGCGCAAACGCAAGAGACGCCAGGACAAGGACTCGTCGAGCAGGGATGAAGGGGGCTCCAAGGCCAAGAAGAAACGTGGACGCCCACCAGCTGATAAACACTCCCCCAACCACCCCAAAGTCACCAAGCAAATGAACACCATCATCGATACGGTCATCAACTACAGGGATGGGTAAGCAAATATAGTTACATCGTGTTAGGTGTCAGATTTGACTTCTTATAACTAGCACATCATCACATTGAGCGTGCAGTTGGCATCTTGTTTCTGAGAGCACAGCAGTTCTGTGTCTTCGTAAAATAACGAGTATGATCTGCTGAACTTTAATCGAGTTTTAGCAGAGGGCTCTAGGTGTTGCTGTTTTCAGCTGCTCCGACAACAATTGGACACTTTGGAATACAAAAGGGAAGTCAAAGTCACAAACCTATACACAATGATATCAATATTATGTTCATAAATCTCCCATTCATCCTGATGGTTACCTTCTGAGCTAATGCCGAAAAAAGACTTGTTACAAGTTGCGTTTCATTTATTTCCAGGTTCCCTATTAGCGTTGTGTATAAATCCAGAATATTGTAAAACAGGTGCTTTTGCTTTGACACTAAATCCTCTTGTTCTTCTCTTCTCTCTCACTCTGATTAGCTGAAATTAAGTTAATTATATATTTTTTCTATAAATAAATTAGAGAAAAAAGACATTGGGGGCAGATGGCATGTAATGCAATTGATATTAGCCCTAAAACCGTTTAACGCCAAGTACCTTATGAAGCATCCACAGACTGTGATTAACCCAAAGAAGTGACTTTATAAACTTTTGATAAGTTGGAAGAAAGGGGCTGTGTAGTTCTACTGTCCCTATGGTATATCTAATAGGAAGGGCATTTGTGTAATGGGGGTAAGAACATCAGGAGTCAAATGCAGAATGAAAGAGGGGAGGCGGGTATAAGTGTATAAAACAAAGGGCAACCTTTATGAAATTAGTTCTGCACATCAGAGTGCTGCTCTGCCTCCTGTCATCATGAATGGACACCTCTTTAAAATGACCGCTCAGAGGAGAGGATTTCTCTAACCGCCTGCTGCTTCCCCTCCTCGACTTCTCTGCTCACATCTCCTGTTGACGGGACTAAGACACGAGGATAGGAGTCGAGGAGGGGAACATTAGAAATGAGAAAGGTCTTACGAAAGACAGACATAACACACATTGTGTTCTCTCAGTCCAACAGTTAAAGTTTGAGTGTGTAGTCTGTTCTGTTGTGTCTGCATTCTTTCCTTTTCAACCATGTGCAATATCAAAAGTATGCATGTCTCTGTCCCTGTAATATTCACCCATGCATGAAACAACTACTCACTGTACTGTAATCACTGGCTGACTACTACACTAAAGCTTTTTTCAGGAAAATGCTACCCGCCTTTCCAAAAGTCAAATTCTTTCCTCTCCCTGTTGACGGTTGTTAGTCCCAGAGCATTTCAATCACAGCTCTGGCACTCCTATCCGTTTACTGCACTTGGACAGATTTTTGGAATTCCTACTTCCGGACTTATGAAATTCATGGTTTCGGTTATATTTACCCAAAACGAGTACATGTTGTTAAACATGAAGGCAACCGTAATCTGAATTGGATCTTCCTAGAATAAAAGAAAATGATATATATATTTTCTGGAGCTAAGCAACTGTTTTGGCTCCGTTTCCTGACTGAGGTGTACATACAGCACAGTATGTTCCTTACAGATGTTGATGTCTGTTCCGTCTTTCTTCCACAAGTCATTATAAGCATTGAAGCCTTGGCGATGTGTCTTTTAGGGGAGAAAACAATTGGGTTCTTTCCTTAAGATCCGTTTTCTTTTGAGTTTTCTCTCTCTTGCATGCACTGATGTCTATACTTGGCAGTCATTCACCTTTTCTAACTCAACCCTATTTTCCTTATGAAAACTATGTTCTATAGCCTTGGTTATTGTAAAGTGCTGATCTGGATATTTTTTCTGTGCAAAACACAGCAAATTCTGACAGATGCTTACAGATACGAAAATCAGTTTGAGTCAAAATCAGTTTTTCAGACTTTGTCTGGATGTTATGTGGCAATACTATAAACACGGTCAATATACTTATAAAGGAATATGAAAGTGTACAATAGAAAAGAGAAACTAGTGCTGTTGCATTGAGGTCAACACTTTTGTGCCATGCTGTTTTCTCACCTTGTTTTATATTGCCTTGGGATGTGTGTGTGTTCTCCTGTGGTCTGTCCAGTGGTGGAAAAAGTTTTAGCTTCTTTACTTGAGTAAAGTACCAAACTGTATAAATACTCATTATTATTTATTAAGTTTAAGTTATTAAGTACTGCATCGAGAATGGTACTAAAGTCAAGTACAAGTATTGAAGTACTCAAAAGATATTTAAACATGAATAATCTAACATTTGTATATTCATTTATATAACAAAACACTTCTTTGCAAATTCGCTGCCAATACATTTTCTATTAACCCGCTCATGGTTTCAGTTACATAAATATAATGTTGGATGGTTTAATTTGCACCAAATAATCCTATTTTAAAAGTATTTTCTAATTATTGTCGGTCAAAATCTGAATTTTTTAAGTAACTAATGTATTAATCTGTAAAATAAACATAGTGGGGTAAAAAGTAAAGCATTTGCTTGAAAATGAAATATCTAGTTATACAACTATATTGTATACAAAAATATATGTTTTAAATGTGTAGCAGCTGTGCAGTTTATGGATATGCTTTTGAGGGAAAAATGAGGGAAAACAAATAGGAGAACCTAGATTATGCTTCATTACAGAAATACATCCTTGTGTCTCCCCGTAGGATCTAGATTAGTTTGAATTGATCTTGTGGGCACACATTGGTAACAGACCCACGTTTACTGGAAGCCTCTAATTTATTTACCTTCAGTTTGTTTTTCACTCCCTGTAGCTCCACACTCTGCCCTCTAGTGGTTATAAATGATTCACTACATATTAAAGGTCACAACAACAGTGTTGTTGTTTTACTTTGAGAAACAAATGTCCTCTTCTTTCAACACATAACATCCCCCAGCTGGTCAAGGATTAGAACTCCTTTCCTGTTTTTCCCATCTCAAGGTTGCTAGTTAAGCAGAGTTTAAGCAAACAAAGTCTCACAGCACAACTGCAAGAAATCTGTTATGGCAGAATTTAACCCCGAATAATGTAATCAGGCATTGATCATAAGCAACAGATGGTTCTGTGTGGCAGAGATCTTAGTGTGGGCGTAGTAAAGCTTTGTGGGAGGAAGCAGTGCAGGTGAACAGCAATTTATATTATTGACCTAAGACATTTGATGTAAATTACACAAAAGTGCATTTCGTCTCACTGACTTGCATCTTTCCCCATTTTCTCGAACTCTGATGAGATTATTTGGGGGGAAATTGCATATAATAACTTTCCTTGTACTGTTTCTTTGGTTTAAAGCATCCCTCAATTGACAGGAGCAGATTCCTTTAAGTATTCAAAGTATTTAGTCTTAACATTTGGTATTTACCTGTCCAGAGAAATAGATGGATGGAACAATTCTCTTTACTCCTGCTATGATTTGTTGTTGTTACTTTACCCTCAGTCTTCTTTCCATATTGCAATTATTTATGTGTGCTCTGTAGCTTTTTGTTTTCCTCGTCTACATAGAAACTGGCCCCGGGCATAAACACTTTAATATTAATTGTGCTTCATTATCCTTTTTTACTTGTTATTCCAAATGTAATCACCAAGGAAAGCTTTGTGGTTCTCACAGAAAACATGACTCACAATTTAAGTATTACTATTATTTAGTTGGAATGCTGATACAGCTACTTGTTCTTCGACGCACAAAATTCTTTATTATTCCGCAGGGTTATTTTGTGCCTCTTCTGCTCCCACATTCCACATCGCAGAAACTCCGTTCAAATATCAAAACGTTCAGCTCGGTCGGGAATCGATGGCTATTACTTTTCTCATTCATAACTTTCATAATTCCAGAGATATATCCCATAATTCATCAATTTTTTAACATGGAAGTCGAAGGAGAAACTCTTCAGACTTGAACAATCTTAATGCGACTTCAACTGCTAACTGCTCCTTCATACTTTCACTCAGAAACCTCATTCCAACTTTAAAATGTTACACATCTTTCTGACATTATTCGTGGAAAACAAATTTTAAATCTGATTTGTACTTTTAGAGATATTAAACATTGTTCAGACCTTGGTAAAGAGGCCTTCTTCAGATTTTAGAGTGTGTGATGTCACAGCTAGAGTGGAGGACAGATTTGATTTTTGCTTTCATATTTTCTTTTAAAACTGCCATAATTCCCAAAGCCTACATTCCTGAGACATATATTTTTTCACGACAAACGTAGTAAAACATCTCGTAGCTTGAAAAAAAATAAATAAAAATTAAGCAAAATAATTAAACAAAATGCCTCTTGAGGGCATGAAGTGACAAAAACGTTCAAAATTAAACCCCCATTGTAAGTTCAGCCTCATCTTTCCCCACCACAGCAGCCGCACACCTTTAGTTAATCTGCTAAAAAGGCCACATTATTGACCCGAAAGTACACAAAAAGCACACTTCAGATACTCAAGTTCCTTGAGATGCTTCACGCTTTGAAATTTCACCGATATCTGTTATGGTTCTTCAACAAAACGTTCACATGTAAGAGGTTTATCTCTCATTCAGAACAATGGAAACCTTTGATCTCTGCACACCTCGTTAGCTCAAATATAAACACCTGTGTCATGGAACACGATGATGTCATAACTCCAACTGACATGCTCAGAGCAGCAGACTTCAGATAATGGTAACTTAATGGTCCTGCCCTCAACAGCTCTACGTCAATTATGGGGTGTCATCATATGCCGTTTCCATGGAAACGCATCCCTCGCCATAAAAGACGATGTCGCTATACATTAACTCCTATGAAAATGTTCAAAAAGTGCTCAAACTTCACGTGTGGTAACAGTCCAGCCGTGACGAGATCTACGGGACAGTTTTGAGATTTCTTCAAATGCCGTTGCCATGGGAACACAATGCTCGCCATGAAACACGGTTTTCTCATAACTTCAGTGAAATTGCTCCAAACGGCCCAAAACTTCACAGGTTTGGTAACGATGCAGCCATCAACGCATCTAAGCGTATTATGGGGTGTCATCAAATGCCGTTGCCATGGCGAC